CTACATCCACGGTGAACTCGGCCTTGTCATCGTCTGTGAGTGGTCCCTGGGAATAAGGTGTTGGTCGGACTTGTTGAGCTCGTTCCGGACCATACGCCTCAGGGCAAAGTCTCCTGCCGCTCCAGCCTCGCTCTTTGCTCAGCGAAGGTCTCCTTCCTCGCAGGGTGGAAGTAGGGTGCTTGGCCTTCTGGAACCGGCAGGTGGGACCCAGTCAGTGAGGGCACCACTTGGGGCTCTGCAACAGGTTCGGGCTCCATCAGACTCGCTAGAGTGGCAGGGATTTCAGGAAGTCCTTCCTCCAGAGTTTCCATGTTGGCCGTAGGTGTTGAGCCAGGAGCTGCAGCAGCAGGTCTGGCTGCGGAAGATGGCCCCGAAGACTGGTCTTGGGGTTGGGGGAGGGGCCATAGTGCTGTTTTCGTCATCATCTTGCCATTCTGGTTCATCAGGTCCAGTGGTTCCAGTCCACATCTGTTGCTGTAGCCAGCTTTCCAATTGTCTCGGATTCGAAGATGTTCCGGATTTGGAGCACCACGTCTGATGTCGGTCATGCGCTCGTCCTTGAAAAGGTGGACCGAAACATCAGCTGTGGGCTCCGGCACATAGAGTCGTTTCCGGGGGATGTTGTGGGTTCTGGTCCGCATCGTCCCATCTTGACTGGGCTGCCAGTGGTCAGGTGGTAGTTCTCGAAAAGGTATGTTGTCAAGATCCCTGTCGTCCTCTGCCTCTTCCTCATCCCTCATCTCATCTTCTCTTGTTGGTCTTTTGCAGGTCGATGTAGTGGGTGACCCCACGTTGTCGGATGTTTTGAAGAACTTGTCTGGTGGTATGGAGGGGATCAGCGGCTTTCTCAGAAAGGTCAGGCACAACTTGTGTCGGCTTCACATGTTCTGGAGCCGCTCTCAAGAGCACTGTGCCGTGCCCAAGCCAGTACCCTCATGATCACACATTGCAGGGTCTCTCCATCGCAGCTTCACATTGGAGCCAGGGAGGGGAATCTCGCCAGTAGAAGCAAAGATCGCCAGGGCTAAGGGTGCAAGGTTGCCCAATGAACTTCCGTAACATCGCCTCCTCAGTCGGCGATCACCATCAGCCTCAGCTGTGGCTTTCGCGGCTTTTTGTTGTAGGCGAAACTTCTCCAGGCAGAGGGGTCCAAGTGCGCAGGGTTGTTGCCCGTACTGCTTTCCACCAACAGTCCTGGGATGTGGGGCATAAAGCCCAAAGTCCATTGTATCGGACTGAAGCCACAAACGTTGGGAGCTCGATTGATCTGAGGGATCACGTAGTTCAGGGCTGTCACCAATCCTTCATGGCTCAGCCACTGCTCGTCGGGTGACCTGGATCACTTGCTCTTTGCACCATTCTCGCATCTGGTCGCTGGACCCAGCTCTGTGCTCGTCAACTTGAACAACTTCCATGGGTCCGAAGTTGCGGGTCCATGCTCTCTCCAGCTGCTTGATGAACTCCTCAGTGCGCTCGCCACCACGTAGATGTCGTCCAGCAAGTAGTCGGGTGGTGCAGTCTGAGATCATCAAGACGGGCTGCTGTTGACGTTGTCCTGGGATCTGAATCCACTGAGTGTCAGCTTGGACTCGTTGATTGAAGGTTGTGTTCCGTGGCATGCTTGACACCGGAACTCCAGCTGGTCGCTGATGTAGTTCACAAAGAGGGCATTCATGCTCCAGGGCTGCCTTGACTGGAGGCTCGCTTGTTCTGCCGCAATCGCACAAGCTCCTTTCTGGTAGGATGTCCAAGGCTGCGGTGAAGCTTCTGGCCTTCTGCACATCTTGTAGATGGTTCTGCAGCTGGTGATTCCAGTTCACCGGTATCAGCATCAGGGACTTCAAACTCCTCAATGATCGGGGCCTCGACGATGTCGTCAGTGGCAAAGGCGTGGTCGTGGCCCTTATACTCAAAGATCTGCTGGATGGCCCGGCCCGGCATAGTGCGTTGCAGAACTGAGCTTGGTACACTCCAGAAGCTTCAGCACGAGGGGTAAGTGCCAATGGTTGCCAGGGCACGTGCAGGCCAAATCCAAGGCCATGGTCTCATCGGTGCACTTTAAACGAATGCTCTTCTGGATGTACTGCTCAATTCCGTGTTCATCGGGAAGTGTGACGCCGTACTGGCATTGGTCCGGAGTCCAGGTCGCAGTCATAGCCATCCAGAGTAGAGAGGGTCTTATTAGTCTTCCATGACTTTGCCTCCTTGGGCTGTTCGATGGCGGCTGCGTGACGTTTTTCTCGATCTGTTTTTGATAGCCACGTGCGGACCATATTCTCAGAGAGGTCACCTCTTGATACTCCCGATCAGCCATCACGGCGTCTTGACGCCCTCGGCCGGCCCGGGTAGGACTCATGCTGAGCTCCTGCAACGATGACTCAATGGTGCATGGGCGTGCAAACCAAATGAAGTCAGGGCAGGAAACATCAAGCCAATGGAGGAATTTTTCGACGGTGGGACGCATCTTCAAAGTTCCTCAAGGTCGAGACACTCCACCAGCCATCCCTCATGGGACATTCGATGGGCCAAATTGGCACTGCCGCTGAAAACTTCCCAAAACACCTTCTGGCCTTTCTGGTGGGCATAGAGAGCATTCTCGACAACAAGTGGGCGCTGTCGGCTAAACTGATTGAAGCCCAAGCTTGTCGGTGATGGTCTTGCGGACTGCATCGATGTCCTCTTTAAAGTGCTCAGAGGGCGGTGATTCCTCTGATGCTGTCTCATAGCCAGTGTCATCTGCTTGAAGAGCTTGTTCAGGAGGCTGTCTCCCAGCCGCGGAGAGGTATTCATGGACGTCGATATACTCACTCAAGTCTTCGTAGTTGGAGACCAGGGCCAGGGACTCGTTGGTGATGTAGTCAAACTCCACGCGCTCGCCGTTGATGTCGTGCTCCACACCGTCATCCACCCTCAGAAGGTATTCACCTCGCTCGCCAATGGGGACTTCGGTCCATGGCCCATCCTGGATTCATCTGAACTTTCAGGGCTTGACGAATGGGTCGCCCAACCAAAAGAGGTGTGGAACCCTCGACAATGAAGCACTCCATGTAGCCACGCTTGTTGTGGATGTAGACTGGCAATCTCACCGACCAATCGGCCTGACGTGAAGCATCTCCTCCAAAGCCAAATGTCTTGTTGGTCGCCATGAAGAGGTATCGGCTTGGAGACAAATTCATGACATGAGGGTGGTGTGGCCCACCACAGCTGATGATGCGCCACCATCCATGGTTTCAGAGCTGTGGGATTCCTCTTTCATTGAGCTTGGCCATGTCACGCACCATCATGGCACTGCCATCAGTTTTGGCCTTCTTCGAAAGCGATGTTGATGTAGAAGGGCTTGTCCTGGAAGTAGGGCTCGACTTGGAAGTGGTGTTCTGTGGACAACTTGCTGCCCAATGGCCCGGTTGGCCACATTTCAGGCACTTGGATGCCGCTTGTCCACGTTGGATGATTTGTCCACCCTTGGTCTGCCATGTCGATGGCCCTTTCCACGTCCTTTCTTGGACTTGCCCTCACCCCTACCTTCGGGACTTCTCGGACCCTGGGAAGATGGTGAAGAGGACGGCATTGATGAGGTATCCGTCAGAGCCACCACCGGGTAGAAACCTCCGGATGCCTTCAGGTGAGCCATCTGACGTCTGGCGTCGAGGTACGTCAGGCATCCTCATAGTTCTGCTCCACTTCGGTGAAGAACTTGTCACCCACCTCGGGCTCCTCAGGGTTGTGGGTGTAGTACACCTCATCGTTCTCCTCATCCTCATAGCCACCATCAGGCCAATCCTCGCATTCGCCAGTCTCGTCATACTGCATGTCCGCCCAGTCCTCATCGTCCACGTCGTATATAGGCCTCTTCGGTCAAGTAGCCTTGATGGCGTGACCACCTTGAGGGTGCTGATCCATAGCCTTTCCCACGCCAGGTTCTGCCATCAGTTGTTCGTCCTTTATAGTCCTGTCACAGCAGGAAATAGAGCACCTCCGTCACAGCCGTCTGGGTCAGGTCGTTGGCTCTTCCTTGGATCATCTGCTTCTGCTCCATGGTGAGTCCAGCGCGTCGCAGTTAGATCCAACCAGCCACTCCATGCTTCTCCGCCTCCATGAGCGCCTCCCTGTGGTCAGCCACGTAGTTGATGAGCGTCTGTCCATCTTTACGGCTAACCCCATAGAAAAACTTCTCAAAAGCTCGACACCTGGTCATCGTACTTGAACGTCTTGTCCAGCTCAGCCTGGATCATTGAGAATCCATCTTCAGCTTCAGATGCACCAGGTGCTCGATCTGTCTCCAGGCTATTCCGCTCAAACTGGTCATCAGGTTGATCGTCGCCTCTTTGCTCTTCTTGTTGATCTCCGACATCTTCTTGTACAGCATGATGCGCTGTCTCCATTCTCTGTAGTCTCCAGGGCGGTTCGTGAAAATCGGGATGAACGTGTCCTTAACGAAGTCCACCCCATTTGGCCCAGTTGGCATAGCCGTTGTAGCGGTGAGGAAGTTGCAGTGGTAGTTCAGGCGATAGGGGATGTAGTTGGGCTCAGTAGCCGGAGGCCGGAAGATCCGGCTCCGCTACCAGTGTTGATTCGGTAGCAATCTCCCAAATCCAATGCCGCCTCTCGAAGTGCAGCGCGAAGTTAAAGGTCAGCAGCTTTTTGGCCCGGCTGCCAAGGCGCGTAGCGGTTGGCTTACGCCCATGGGACCCTTACATCAGTTTCCCTGGAAGATTGGGCATTGGGCCCAAATGATATGGGGACACGTGGCAAATGAAATGCCCAAAGTCCATGTTGAAACACTAGCCACCTATTCGTGTGGCACACAAATCACACCTTGGATCAAGGCGTGGAAAAACACGTCTCATGCCTTGCCAGAAACCAACAACCCACTGAGAAGGACAGGCCACCAAACAGAAAGGTGCTGTCAGCTGCTCTCACACCCTTATACTGGCCTTGCACTGGACTTACAGTACGGCCTCACACTCACTATATCTCATCATCACGCATCCTCACTCATGCTACCAACGTACGGAGGCCTTTGCAGCACTCTGCACCAGCTCGATTGATTCTTTCTTGCCTGGGTCACTCTCTGAGCACTGAGACAAAATAGAACTCGGCCTTCAGTATAAAAAAGTGCTCAACAGAACTACACTCTTGTTCACTAGCAGTTGTGACCTTGCAACAAAATAAAATATGTCCTCTGAATTCGCATGCCCTTTCTGCGACCAATTCCCGCAGGCTCTTGTCAAAGGTGAAATCCATGAAATCATCAAGTCTAGTCTTGGTCGAGCCTCAGAGTGTGAAGGAGAAAGGTTGAGCTGCAGACCTACTTTCTTTGGTCGAACATCCAAGGCCTGCGCAGCAAAAAAGAGATATCTGAGATCCCATTCACAATGTTTACTCAGTTTACTCTTTCTCTCTCTCTCTCTCTCTACAATCTATGTCTCTGGCAAGAATCCATCAAGAGCAAATTCAAGTCTTCGATATCGCGAGAGGAGCAGGAGTCATTCTCATGTCTGGAAACCACTATTTAATAATTTATGTATCAAGACTTCCATGATTTTTAGACTCATTTCGAAAAGTATTTTCAGGCAGAGAATAGCACTTTCCATGCAGAGCATAAAATTTGGCGTGGACCCAAATACATCTGCTGCAAACAATGTCATTCTTGCAAACCGACTCTGCATCTCCTGTCTCGAATGCTGTATTCATCTCCTTCACAAAATACTTCAATACTACTTAGGTTACTACTTAATACCGTCAATATGCTTCAAGAACCTGTTTCGCGAGATTTCAACCATAGGCCTTCGGCTCCATCAGCTGAACTTGATTCAAGCTGTTTGTTTCTACTCTTGTTTTCTGCAATCTTCTGCAATCTTCTGCAATCTTCTGCAATCTGACAACATGGCTTGTGGCTAAGCCAAGAATGCCACCACAAGTCGCGTAAATGTCGATGCATTCTCATCTTGTCCGTGTGCCTTCTGCTGTGTATCTTATGATACAGTACTTGCTAAACCACGCATGCATCTGCGCACTTGCAGCATGGTGCACCATATGCAGGCTAACTGCAATTGGTTCATAATTTTCATATATTTTCATACTGTTGCAACGTTTCTTCTGCCTTGTCATTGGCGAGACCACTGAACTGCAGAGAGTGGAGACCCAGCAAGTTCCCAGGCTCGGCACTAAACCTGCAAGAGAGAGGCTTCAGCGGCTTCGACTAAACACAGCATGTTCAAGTTCGAAGATTGCACGAACCGAGGTGAAACCGTCAAAAAGGTGTCAAAAAGGTGTCACAAAGGTGTCACAAAGGTGTAAAAAATCATTCTCTTTGGCCTTCTCTTGTTGACACCACCAGGGCGTACAAAGCAAGAGCTTTTGCGAATGCACTCCCACAGCAGGTCCTGCAGTGCTGCCAACCTCTCCCATCACATTCCTTTGCCATAATTTGCCATATACCTACCTCCCTCTGCATAATTGCAGTAGATATAGTTAGAGTGATTTTAGGCTCGTCGCCTGTAATTTTATTCAAATGCATACGCCCACAAAGAGACTACTATACATCTGTCTGTGTTATAGGATGGAAAGCCGACGCGCTTGTATCTCAGCCCATTGGTTCACGAAAAGGAAACTAAACATGGCAGCATGACTGGAGACGCTCTGTGAGATGCCGGCCGAACTCAGCAAGCAGTTGATCAAGGACATAGTATACACACAATATACACACTATACTATTAAAGTAAAAACACTGAAACTATTCGCCAATGGCCTGTATGCCTGACAAACAAATCAACGCTTTGGAGAAAAGGGGAGTGCATCATTCATTTTCAGAGATGCTTCAGCATGATTTTTTGTTAAGCATTTGTAGAGATCCAACCTCCACCGACTGGACCTGTACATCACAGCCTGACATGTCTAGGTGTTAGAAACCAAGCCTTAGGACGGCGCCAAAGGATTTATCATGAATGTGTTGCTGAAAGTTTGTCTTTACAAGCCATTGATAATGGGGTCTAAGTCTAGAGTTCAATCTTCCAACCATGGACAGAATGAAGCTCGGTGATCAAACATATCACTAAAATGCAAACAAGTGGCTCTTTCGTCCAATGCACGGTGTCCCTTCAATGACAATCTGGCTCGCTGGGGCAAGTTGTGGTGCACTGGTCACAGCTAGCTCCAGATAAGGCAGTCCAAGTGTCCAAGTGCATGTCCTCGACAATATATGACAATAATATATTCAATATATAATGATGTGATGTTGATATGATTTTGATGTGATTTTGATGGGATATGGTTCCAAAGATGTGTCCCTCTTGCAAGTGTGGATGGGTGTGTAATGAGCTTCAACACAAGTACCCAACGCAACACAAAGATTGGTAGGAACGTTTCACTTCCTGCCGAGGAACTGTCTAGTGAGTCTAGTGTTGATCGCCGAGAGGAAATTGTCACAAATTGTCAATAACAAATGTGAACAACTGAACAAAACATGTAAATATATAGAATTCAACAAGTTCAACCTTTGAACATGTTCAACTTCAGCACAAAGTCGTGAACTCGATCTTCTGCGCCTTCTCCGCACCCTCGCACAGATGTGCACAGTGCAAATCGCAAAATAGCAGCAATGAATAAACTGCTTTAACCGTAAAACATCGAATTATATAAAATCAAGAACTGCAACATCATGTGTCAATTATGTATAATATGAACATGCATTCCAAAATACAGTAGATTTAATAGAAATCAACAAGTCTTAACAGAATCCACTTGCACTCCAGTCAACCGTGCCGTGAGGCCTCTTGTTTCGGGATCGTCGAGAGAGGAGCCTGGATCAATTTCAAGTCCTACGAACAAAACTCAGCAAAGCTGATGCTCCAAATGATATCGAATGCCCAGACTTCTCAATTTCTGTCGTTGTGGTGGCCCTCGCGGAATATCCTAATTGTCTAGGAACCCGCTGAGCCAATAAGCATGTTGCATGAACCGTATCTGCATCACAACAGCACAATCTAGCATACCCAGCAAACCTTGCATGATGACAAAGCCATACAAAACCCAATGCAGGCATTGAAGACTATGCACTGACATCAGAGCTTTCAAAACTGTTTGTGTTTTGCGAAATGCAATCTCTTCGCGCGATGCACGTGTGTGTGTGTGTCTGTGTGTATGTGTGTGTGTGTGAGTCTATCAAGTATATATATATATTTCTCTTATCTTGTGGCACCAGTTTTCACAAGCCTCAGTGTCCATGATTGCATCAGAAACAGGTCAGAAAGTGTACAAGGCAATTTCCAACAAGACTGTAGGACTTCGCCTTTCGTGTCTGCACTGACGCAGATGCTGCAGCTGCAGATGCAGATGCTGGTGGTGACGCAGGCGACGCAGGTGACGCAGGCGGCATCGGCGCCGGCTCAGCGGGTTGAGCTTGGCTCACCTTATCTGACTTTGCACTGCAAAGACACCCTGCAAGAGCTAAAACACTGTGATAGCACACACAGCATGTTCAAGCCTCCACGGGACCCTCAAGGAGCTCCTAAGCAGTGGCCATGACATGAATGCAGGTAGACAAATAGATAGACAGACAGATGGATGGGCATACAGACAAACATGGATGGATGGATGCATGACTGGATGGATAGATTGATGCACTAGATCGATCAGATAGATGATAAGATGGGCATAGTAAAGATAGGCTAGATAGGATGGATGAGATAGATCGGATAGTTGAAATAGATAGAGGAGATAGGTATGGTTGATGGGATAGATAAGATTGACCAGACAAGTGAAATGAACAAGACTGATAGGATAAGACAAGAAAAGATCAGATTAAGGATCAGAAAAAGAGAAGGAATGACATCAAAACACCGATCGATAGATAGATAGATAGATAGCTAGATAGATAGATCGATCGATCGATAGATAGATAGATAAAGATCAGTTAGGTAGATAAAGATTAATTAGGTAAATAGGTAATATTAATTAGGTAGATAGGTAAGATTAATCAGATAGATAGGTAAGATTAATCAGATAGATAGGTAAGATTGATCAGATAGATAGGTAAGATTAATTAGCTAAATAGATACATAGATAAATCAATGCAAAATTAAACACATAAAAATAAATAAATAGATTAATAGATAGGTAGATAGGTAGATGATATATTTTTAAAAAAAATAGGTTGATAGTTTATATATAATTGATAAATAGAATGATCACGTTTATCTGTATCCACAACATGGCCAGAGGTATGTACAGAATTGCATTTATGATCATTTATGTGTATGTAGACATGTAGACACATTTATATATATATATATGTATACATATGTATATATATAGTATATACATATATACATGTGTATATATATATATATTTATTTATTTTTGTGTTTCGTTGGATGAGATTAGGGCTCACTTGAGCCACTTGACATTGGCACCGACACTCGTGATGTGTTCATCAAACTATGCATCTTCATGTCCACTTACCTTTCAAATGAAAGGTGACTCAACATCCCCTTGTCAAAAATAATATTGCATCAACAAGTTGAGTTACATCATATATAGTGCATTCAATGCTTTCAGTAAAGCAGTCCTGTTTGAATCCAAAGTAAACACGTTCCAATTGTTTGAACATTAATTACAACTTGAAAAATACACCCTGGATTCACATGACACTCCATGCCCTTTTCTCCTCTGGACAGTCTGCGTCAGGAAAATGTTCCTGTCAAAATCCAAAAGATTTTTTTCAGTGAAGGAGAATGGTATATATGTTTTTTGCATAGACCAAGGCGCAGATACGAATCGAAACAAAAATTGAAATACTCAAAAGTGGACAATCAACAAATAATTTTGGGATTTTTTATGTTTTAACGCACCATTTTCACAACATGACACAAAACTAAAAGCATCCAGCAATTGTCGACACATGTCGATACAAATTTACTGGAATAGGAGGCCTACTACATTACACCAAACCCAAAAATTCAAGTCAACATCACTGCAATTCAATTCAATCAATTTGCACTCGTCATTTTTATTATTCACTCAAGCGGTATCAATACATTCATTGAGACAAAGACTGATTCATGTCTCGTTGTTGGACCAGTCGTGGAGTAGTGGCAAATTCGTTTTGAAATCATTGAGACTGGAAGCTGTCCTCGATGATGGCCCGCAAACCTGGTTTCGCTTCTTCGATTTTTTCTGCTGGACCCTGCCGCTGGGTTGCATACAACGGCAAGCAGCAAACAGGGAACGGCTCGGGTTGTCGAACACTTTGTCGTTGAAAAACTGTTGCATGCAAGCAACTCGATTAATTGTCAGCATTCCATTGTTAGCATTTGAACATTGGAATGCAACAGGGACACAAATACAACCCAACCAATTGCCAGTTTGGAAACAAACCGCTTCAGTTTATTGCCGGCATCAGGCTCACCTTAACCATAATGTACCCTTTGGCCGGTTGTGCAACTATGACCTTAATCTGACCCATCGCGCATTTGCAACACACAATGTGAAAATTGTATCTCGCAGTGATTGGCAGGGCACAGGGCATCGAAAAAAACAAATTGAATTGGACGAGAATATTTTTTGTGGTGAAAGTGTTTGCGTCTTGAACACTGTACAATTCACACATTCGTGTTCCTCAGTCTGGGCAGCCTGCCAAATTACCATGTTTGTCGCCAAGGTTGCGCAACCTTGGTTGATTGACAAACAATGGAGATTCGTGTCAGGACCGCAATCTGAAGTGACAAATGTTGCATCCATTGAACCTGATTGCAAAGGGTCGCCCGTCTTCACGACCGATTTGAGAACTTACATCTAACATATCCAACACAATGTAATTGTAATATCAATAGTATCAATTTGACAGCACTCAAGCCCGCACACACCACTCAAGCTTCGTGCCACGCCTTTTGGCCAAAGAGCCTTCCGAAGGCAAAATAAAATCTATGGACCGCTGTGGATCAGGGTTTGCATCCGCCAAAAAAAAAAACATGCCGAACGAAATCGTTGGCCAATTACAATCCAACCTGTTCAATCGGCACAATCAGTTCCGAGTCGCTCATAGTGAAAACGGAAAATTCCTACTTGAGCCCCTGTTCTGCAAAATGATCACTTGTGGGCCGATGCAAATTTTGGTGTATTTGTTGCCCATCGATTTGTTCCGCACAAATGCTGATTTTTTCCAACGCGAAAAATGACAATCAGGAGCGCCACAACAAAATATAACGTATGTATATATGTTTTATTTATATAGATATATATATATATACTTATTATTTCCATGCACCGTTTCTGCAGCAACAATCACTCACATTGTTTTCACCGATTGGGCTTGCAACGCTTTGCATGTTCAGCCCTTTTGGCTGTAGGGCATGGCACTTTCGGCCGTAGTTCGACCTTCGAAACCAGGTACCCAATGTCATCCAAAGAAGGTGGAGTAAGGGGTCGGACGGTGGGTTGTGGAGACAAATGCAATGAAAGTGGGCCCACCCGCCCTACCCTTAAACCAAATGTAGCAGCATCCACTTGAATTGCACGGTCAATTCACTCAAGCAAATAAGCAGTTGTCATACATGACATCTAGTTATTTCCACGCGCCGTTTCTGCAGCAACAATCGCTCACATTGTTTTCACCGATTGGGCTTGCAATGCTTTGCATGTTCAGCCCTTTTCCCCATTCTTTGATCAACTGAATTGCAGAGCGCCACCAAACACTTCAACGCATCATTTGAAACATCTGTAAATCCCAGCTTCAGCAAAACTTCAGTGTCACCTCTTGAAGGTGCGTCTGCAATGTTGCTAAATGAACTTACACGGGAAATCCAGCAAAGAGTACCTGCATGTATTTCTGTCTCTGCAAAAATTTGCGCCATCAAATCAACAGTTGCATTCTCAGAAAGCCCTTTCATCAAGCTAAATTTGGTTCCCTCGTTGTCCACATACAAGAAGCACATCCTGTCACGCAAGTGACTCAACCACAATGTATACGCGAGAATTGCACACAATGTTTCAGCTTCGAAAATAATTTGTTTCTTGCTAGGTTCACCCAAAATTTTTCGTTGATCTTCTGAAAGCTCACAAGAAAAGAACAGTTTGACTCCAGAAGCTGTATCCACAAGGGTACCACCTAGGCCGCAGATGCGTTCTCTGGAATCTCGCTCGTAACAAGCATCAGTTATGATTATCACAGAGAAGTCGTTCTGAACTGAGACCACGCGCGGCTCTTCTGATTTCAGTAGGCTCAAAAACCGTTTGAGGAAGGTCGCATCTCTATCGCCAATCTTCGAAAAACTGGCAATGCATCGCTTTCCTGTGCGACCATATATCTGAGACTCAGCAAACTGCATCCGGCCACGTAATTTCTGAGCTTCACTTTGCGTAATAAATCCAGATCTCTTCAACTCTTGAGGCAGTATTTGAAATTCTGCAGACAAATTTACCTGAGTCCTTGAGGTCGAACACCACACCCAGTGCTTCGCAAGAATCGCTGGAAGGCTTGCACTTCCTCCCTTCTTCTGCGAACACCCATCCCAAAAGTTTGAAGAGGGCAATCGCTGACAGTTCAGAGCTCTTAGCCAGCGAGGGAGGACTGAAAACAATATAATCATCAAAGAACGAGGACCAAAAGAGGCAGCATCCTTTCACTCCTAGCCACCAGATTGCACGGGCCAGTCTGAGAAAAGAATGTACGCTTTTGATGGCTCCAAATGGTAACACCACTGCTTGAATTTGTCTAAACGGCCAGTGTTTGGGTCGTAAACCCTGATGTAAGCAACTTCACGCCCACATGCGTTGAGTCCGACTTGTCTGTATGCACTGGACAAGTCAAATGTCCTTGCCAGTAAATTTGGATCAACCCCAGAGGATTTTGCTGATGTGAACCAATGAACCAAAGCTGCGCAAGCAACATCCACCGTGTGCAAAACTGGCGACTCCAGCACTGTGATAGTGCTGTTAGCTGACGACTCACTAAAATCGTCAATGAGGCGAATCTTATGACGTTGCCTGAGCCCGAATCTTCTTGAAATTGGTGCACCTTTCGGGACATCTTTCTCTGCAATTGGGCCTTTCAGCCATCCAACATCTCGTTCTGCAAGGGTTTGTTGCCAAACTTCATTGTCCACCTCTGCATCCCCAGAGCCTCTGGCCTCTGACATCAAATGACTTCTGCGAAATCAGATTGGATTTGTAACGCGTTGCATGTCAGCACTGTAGGGGTAAACTTGAAAGGCAGCATTCCAGTCTCAGTTACTTCACCCGTTAGTGAAGCCCCTTCTTGCAATTCACTGACCACTCCTAGGTAAGGATATCCGTAAAATTTCAGCATGTCTGCAAACAATGCGATTCTGCGAACTTTTCTGGAACCGAAAGCGCCTCAGAGTAAAACCTGAAATGCACTACTCGATTTGTGCAATGTCATCTGCACAGCTACACAACTGATGTGTACATGTACATGAATCCAAATGCGGAAGTATCTTTCACCCCGCCTTGGAACCCAAATATTTTGGAGTTCCACCTATGGCTAAAACTCCGCAGGTCAGTTGTGTGACCGTAAGGTCTCCATTTTTGGAGCTTGTCTAAAGGGTGAAGACTGTTTTGTTTCAAACTATTGGCACTGATGCCACGTGATGGGCATGCTCCCCACCAAGCGACATTCTTCTGTGGTGCCATTTCGTTGCTGCCTCTCAGAATTCCTGAAGTCCCGTGCCATCATCGGGTTCTGTTTCTTCTTGATGACTCCTTGGGCCATAGTGAACATCTGCCCAGAAGTCCGGGTCCGAAACTTCAGATTGCCCACAGTTCATATACCTTTGTGCTTTCTCTGCTGGAGTTTCTTCAGCCATCTCTTCGTCAGACTTGGAGCTTTCCGGCTTCACTTCACGAAGTGCTCCTCCATGCTGTCCAATCAATTTTGTCACCTCCTCGAACTTGTCATACTCGAGAAGGGTCATAATGGCCCTAAAGGCCTTGTCGGCCTCAGCCAGCTGAAGATGTTTTTCATCTTCTCCCAAGCCATGCTGCGGGGACTCGTCGTCCTCACTGAGGTTGCAGGTGTCTGCAATCACCTCAGCCATGCGCAACCGCTCCTGAGGGCTGCAGCTAGTGTACTGAGCCACACAGCTCAGCAACAATGCCTCACAGGCTGTCTGAGCCAGTACCATGTGTACCCACCAAGTGCCAAGGGCCATGCAGTGAAAACCAGAGTTGTAAAAGGGATCATGTTGATGTTGGAGGTTTCTAAGTCGTCGATGTCGCATCCACATAGACTCATACCAGCTACTCCATGCACAAAAGCTGTGGCAATATCTCCAGCATTCAAAGCTATGTCATGACCACCAGTGTTCATTGCGGGTGAGTCGGTGAGTCCTCATCACTTGGCAAATCCGCAATGTGGCCCCTGGTTTCTGCAGTGGCTACCTCCAAAGCAGCCAACATATCACTCAGAATACCTTGTCGGGCCAAATACTGATTGTCTTCGTGGGATCCTGCTTTGTAACAGCTTTCTGTAGCCTCCTTTCACATCGGTCATACAGCCAATGGATCATGCCTTCTTCAGACCAAGCTGGATGGTCAGAGGCATCACTGTTCGAGCTGTTGTCAATTGGATCCTCTCCAGCGCCCGTGCTCGAAGCTTCGGCATCGCTCACAAAATCAAAAATTCTTCAGGAGTTCACCAGGGCGGATGGCCAGGTAAATGTAGCCAATCAAACCCAGCAGCCATGTGAACAAAAACACGGCATTGAAGTATCCTCCAGTTGCCAAAGAGTCCATGGTGTCAGAACACCCTTGAAGCTGAGTAAGCACGCTCAAGGCGCCGCTAATCAAAAGGTTGATCTGTGCCTGGCTGTGGCCCTGTTGTCTCTGATTTGTGACATGCCTGAAAATGTTTCCTGGGTCGTGTGCTCCTTCAAGATTGTTTCCTCTCCAAATACCCAAAAAGTAACACAACGACTCGAGCCTTGCTGCGCTGAGTCTCTTTGTGGCAATGTCTGCAGGGTTGAGTGCTCCCATCACTGATCTCACCAGTAAACGCTTTTCCATGACTAAGTCCTGCATCCACAAGATCCTGCATGACAAATGCCTCAAACGACCTACACCTTTGCGAGAAAGAACACCTCTTGCTGCTCATGAATCCAGATACAAACACATCATGAAGTGACATTGGAGAAGCCATGAAAAGATGGTTGTGATCAAGATCGCATCCATGGTGGCTGACGCAGCTGCATATGTTTCTGACTCTGCGCTCGAAAGTGACACGATTTTCTGTGTCCTGGAGCTTGAATAGGCGAGGCATCCACCTTATTTCCAAACGTACTAAAACCGTAGACACACAAACCTTATTAGAAATTACGCCTGCCACGCACGCCGGAAAAAACGCCATCGTGAAAAAAGCCCTCTCACTGACAATAAAAAAACATGAAAAACGTCGGCTGACATCTGAAGCACCACACGCCTTTTTCACTCCTAGACATTGGGGAAGTCCATAGCCCGTCTTTTGGGGCGCAAAAAGAGGAAAAGAGTGGCGTTCCATGAATCTAGGCGGCGTTCCGCACAAAAGATATAGAGAAAAAGGCTTTCCTAAAGAACAGTAAAGGCGGCATTCCGCAAACCGTTCTTAAAACTGTAGGGGGGGAGGGGGGCACAAACAACGAGTCACAGGAAAAAACGTGCGAACCCGCCCACCCTCCCTAGGAGGCCTTGACTGATAACGGCCACACGTAAAAGAAGATTCCTCTGAACCAGTGTGACATGTTTTACTCACAGAAAACAAAGGTTCTTGTTTCAAAAGTCATGCACTCATTGACAGATAAAAACAAGAACATCACACAGGGAAACAAACAAGTTCTGTAAAAAGAAACAGAACCATCGAAACGCGTCACTGAAAAACAACAAACCCCAGTTTGTTGAGCAAGGTACAGCCAGAGTTTACCAAGTAAACAGAGCAGTACCAGAACCCGAATGCAGTCGCAGACGCGTAGAGAGGGGACGCGTAAAGGCGAGGGGCAGGACCGCGTGTCTACTAGAAGTTGCTCTCAACTTCTTTTTAGTACTAAAGGAAATA